AGCCCTCCTCCCCCCCACCTTTCCCATCCCCCCTCTCTCGCCTCTCCCTCCTCCTCGCCGTGCCCCGCACCCCTGGCCGCCATCCACCGTGGCACGAGCGCCGGACGCTGGAGAACGGCGTCACACCGCGCCGTGCACGTGTGCCCCGGCTTTTTGTTTGAACCATTTTCGGCTCGCGGTCTCGAGCGTGAGCCTTCTATGCCTCCTGTAGCGCTCCGCGCCTGCCGCGAAGCCACCCTGCGTGATCGTTCGACTTCGTCGCGCCCCGTCGCCCGCCGCGAGACCATCCTCCTTAAGTTAGCGTTCGATTTCCTTGAGTTCCTCGGCGGCACAGAGCGCAGGGGGTTCGGTCGAGATCTGCCGCCTTCGTTGACCCGTCCATGTTGAAGCTATGGGTCTTCAATCATGGCGAGGAGGAGGAGAAAGACGAGGACGAGGAGGACGAGGAGGAGGATGAAGAGGAGGAGGAGGACGAGGAGGGGAAGGGGGGGGGAGGCATGGAAAGAGTGAGGCTGCGTCGCAGGCGGTCGCATTCGGTCGGTTCGGCCCGGGCAGTTTTCGGCTGTGCTGCCGCTGTGGGCCTCCCTGGGATGGGAGGGACACGCAGGGGACGGACATGATAGGCTTGTTCTCCACCACCACCACCATAAGTTGGAGGGGTAGGGGGTCCTCCTCCTCCTCCTCCTCCACCTCCTCCTCCTCATCCTCTTCGTCCTCCTCCTCCTCCTCCTCCTCCTCCTCCACCTCCTTCCCCCCTCAATTTATAATGGTGGTGGTGGAAAACAGGCCAATCAGGACAGGGCGTGGACGAGAGAGGGAGAGAGAGAGGGAGGTGTGGCGGCAACCTGTCTGGGCCGAGCGCTGGCCCATAGAGAGCTCGAACAGGAGGCAGGTGGTGTCTGACTGCCTGGGCACGCCCGGGCGCACCCCCGATGGGCCTGTTCTCCACCACCACCACCACCACCACAAGCTGGAGGGGGGAGGGAGGAAGAGGAGGAGGAGGAGGAGGAGGGGAGGAGGAGGAGGAGGAGGAGGAGGAGGAGGAGGAGGAGGAGGAGGAGGAGCAGGAGGAGGAGGAGGAGGAGAGGAGGGAGGAGGAGGAGGAGGAGGAGGAGGAGGAGGAGGAAGAGGGAAGAGGAGAGGAGGAGGAGGAGGAGGAGGAGGAGGAGGAGGAGGAGGAGGAGGAGGAGGAGGAGAAGGGGGAGGGGGAGGGGGAGGGGGAGGGGGAGGGGAAGGGGGAGGAGGAGGAGGAGGAGGGAGGAGGAGGAGGAGGAGGAGGAGGAGGAGGAGGAGGAACAGGGGGAGGAAAAGGAGGAGGAAGAGGAGGAGGGAGGAGGAGGAGGAGGAGGAGGAGGAGGGGGAAGGAGGAGGAGGAGGAGAAGGAGGAGGAAGACCCCCTCTCCCCTCCAACTTGTGGTGGTGATGGTGGTGGAAAACAGGCCCATCAACCCCGAGGCCATCCTCCGCTGGCCTGGCCCCCCCTCTCCCCCGTCGTGGGCCCCGTGTCGTCAACTTCCTCCTCCTCCTCCTCCTCCTCGCCTCCCCTCTCCTCCTCACCCTCCTCCTCCTCCTCCTCCTCCTCCTCCTCCTCCTCCTCCTCCCCCTCCTCCTCCCCCTCCGTCCCCCTCCCCCAGCGTGGGCCCGGGGGAGTGGGATTCCGAGGCGGATGGCCTTCACGCCTGCCGCGCAGCCCGCCCTGCGTGATCCGCTCGACCTCCGGCGCGCCCCATTCGCCTGCCGCGAGGCCGCCTTCCGTTGGGGGTAAGCCGGGCAAAACACAGTATTACACCAGAGATCACCCCCAATCAGTGGATGGCTTGATGAGGATCGATCAGGAGATCGACCAGGAACCCGGGAGCCCTGGAACCCAGAACCCACCGAAATAGGCCCGGAACCAATAACCAGGAACTTGGGAACCCGGAGCGGGGAACCCGAGAATCCAGCTTGCTACAAACATCGGCGGGAAATTTTCGCCAAATCTTCCAGCTTCCGCTAGGACCCCTTCAGTGCAAGCACTGATTGGGGAAAAAGGTAGTCAGGGGGCCACTGGTCGATTTCCTTTTGATTATGTAGTACTTGCGCTCCAGCTCACTTCAATCGAGCGCGTTGAGCTGTAGTATGTTTCCACTCTTGGAAGGTTTTCCTCCGAAGTCCGCCTGTCGGAGGACATGCCCGACCTGACGCTCGAGGGCCTCCACGCCGGCGGATCCCGAAGGGGATCTTGCGGGTCTGACCGCACATGGGGGGCGAGCAGCGCCGACAAGCGCAGGCCGCCGCCTGTTGACGGCGTGCAGAGGGGGGGCATGGAGGAGGAGAGGAGGCTTCTTAGAAGGAGGCTGCTTCTCAGAAGGCGCGGGCGTTGTCTGTTGATGTCAGGCCCGCGATTCTTCGGAAGCAACTTCCTTCTGGGAAGCCTTCCCCCCTCCCCCTACCCCCTTTGCGCGCCGCCAAGCCTACATCTGGCACTAGATTCTTTGCGGGTCTCAGCGCGAGCACGCGAAGATCCCGACGCTCCGATTTTGGGCTCGACGGGGACAGCGGCGCGACTGGGTAGAGAGGGCTCGAAGAAAAAAGCATGCTTGAGCATAAGTCATCGGAGCTCCGCGGGATCCAAGAAATCCGCGCGGAACTCCTAGAAATGATGTTCAGGCAGTGTGAGAGAGATAGAGAGCGAGAACAACAGACAAGGAGTGAGTGTTCTTGCGAGGGTGACAGAGAGAGAGAGAGAGATAAAAAGAGAGAGAGAGAGAGAGACAGAGAGTGAACAGGAGCTATTGGGCGCCAGACGGACAGAGGTTTGCAGAGGAGGGGGCAGGAGGAGGAGGATGAGAGAGAAGGGTAGCTCCCCTCCAAAAGGCGGAAGAGGCGCGAGAGGGAATGATCCAAGATGCTGCACCCGTCGATGTATCTCTTGCTCGTCCACCGCCGTCTTCTATTTATCATCGATTTGAAGCTCCGGGTTTTCAGAGTGCTGGGCACGTATGGCACGTCCTTGCGCTTCACTCGCGCTCGGCCTCCCAGCAGTGCGTGCGAGGCTACAGATCCGGTCGCCGAAAGGAGACCGTAGCTTGCGGAGTCGGCGATTGCAGGAGAGCAGCGTTGGGAGGGTGATGAGAGGGAATAGGAGAAGGGGAGACGAGGAGGACGGGGGTCCACGCTGGCTAACATTTCTGAATGGGAATGCGCTCGCTGGCAAGTGGATGCGAAAGTACAATGAGGACGGGAGGCAGAAATACACGCCGAGTTTTGCGTGTCTTCCGGGCAGGGAGCAAGGGTACCACCGCGTGGGTTCCAAATATTCATTCGTGAAACAAGTGAAGAAGCATATGCGTGTGGAACCCTCCGTTAGTGGACCTCTCAAATGTGAATTGCATATGTAAGCCACAGGGAGGTCAATCCATAAGGGTCCACGCGGCCGCCGAGCAAAAGTGCGGCATCAGAGGGCAGCAGGTTGGGAAGCCGTTTGGATCGAAGCTGCAAGGGTACAAGCAGCCACTTGGCAGTGGCAATGTAACAACTCTCTCTCTCTCTATATATATATATAGGTATGTCCTCTTTTCAAAGTAGAAGCAATAGCCAGCTGACGAGTGTGCCGTATTTCGGTTTCTGGTTCAAGCTCTTTCCCCAATGCCCGTTTTGGGCGAGGCCAAGGCTCTTTTCGAGGGGGCCGCTAACTCCCTGATCACATCCTCCTCAGCGGCCGTCCTTTCCTGGGCCAGCCGGGTCCCGTGCCCTGATTGTCGGCCCGCGGTCAATTGCGATTGCCCGAGTTGCCCCACCGTGAGCTGCGGCGACGTGATCAAACAGGAGGCGAGCGACGCATCCTGGCTGGGCTCGTTGCTGTGGTGCATCTTCTTCGTCAGCATCGGCTTCGTGATCGGACGGCTACCCCTTGCGTGGGCCTCTGCGGCCCGGAGCTCGCCTCACCCCGCTCAAGTGGTGACTACAGAGGCGATTGAGGTAGAGCCGCTCGCGGAGCAGGCTCGGCTGCAGCTGGAGGCCCTGGCGCTGAAGCGGCGGGTGGGCTCCCGCTCGACTGGGCAGTGATGGCGATTGCCGCGCCTGGCCCTGGAGTGTACACCATCCTGACTCCAGACGACGACGACTACGACGAGGACACCGCGGTGGCGGCCGACATCATTGAGGCGGCGCGGCATGCCCCAGGGCATGCAGGGTGGTGTGCCGCCGCTGGTCGGCGGCGCGGCCGTCCCAGCCCCGGTCTACCGTTTCCGCGCTCTGCCCCTGCCGGCTCGGCTTGTGGGTGCGAGGGCCGCGGGAGCCGCGCGGCTGGGCTTCGCCTTGCCGGCCGAGCCCTTCGCGCTGAACACGGTTGGGCGGCCGCTCTCGGTGGGGCCCGGCACGCCCGTGCAGGCGGGTGGCCTCGACGAGGGCGACTTCTTCGTTGTCAGGTACAACATCCCCGGACCAGTCCTGTGGCACGAGAGGGTCGTGGTCTTCAAGCCGGGCCCGCCGCCCGTGGGCGCGGCTCCGCCCGACGGAGGAGGCCTTGCCGCCCTGGCCGCCGCCCTGGGGGGGCATGCGGCGGCTGGCGCCCCAGCGGGCGCCCTGGTCCCCCCTGCAGCCGCGGCCTAGCTCGCGCCGGTCGCAGCGGTCGCACCTGCTGGGCCCTGGTGGGTGGCGCCGCCGCGGGCGTTGCCGCCGCTGGCCCCGCTGGAGGGGCTGCAGGAGCCGGAGCGGCGGCCGGAGCAGCTCTGGCGGCCGCACCCCTCGTGGCGGCCCCTGGAGGAGGCCTCGCGGTGGCGGCTGGCGCTGCGCCTGGTCGCGGTGGCGATGCCGGGGCCCCCGTCTTCGACTTGCGCGTGCAGGTCATCGCGGTCGACTCTCAGGGGGTGCGATATCGTGAGTTCAGGGCTGCCGTCGCCACGTTCACGGTCACGCCGTTCGCGGATTGGCCCGTGCGCGGGCCGCGCACCCTCCTCTGGGTCAGCAAGTTCATCGTGGCCAACGGCGGCTCGCCAGTAGCCAGGCACAACCGATGG